TAAACACGTACATGAGCTAATGGGATATTTTAGCAAGCAAAATATGTAATTAAAGAAATATGTCCTTTATCAACAGAATTAAAAAAAATGTTTTTCTTGTGTAAACAATACTGGTTTATAAAGCGTATCTTATATGTAAACTTTAAATCAAATAAATTTGAAAGTGTCGATAACTTTTTCAAGTGCTTTCTAACAATGTGCAAAACAACAATAAATCAAATTTGTTTATGGAATTTTAGCCTTCTTTAGTCTAAAAAAAAAACTTTAGTATTAATTATATATACGGAAAATAAGTAATTGTGTGTGAAATACATCTCCATATTTTACACCAATTTCAAATATTAGCCATCTTCATTTAAATAATGTATAAATAGATTAATTACCTCGCTGTAAATGTTACATGTACAAGGGTTGTCCCAAAAAGTCGTAGACAGGGAAAACAGTTTTCTTTCTCTTGCTTAATTCAATTTCTTTTCTTGTCATAGTAAAAAGTAACATTTTATGATCATGCATTTCAAGTTTCATGATGATATCACATCTTATAAGAAAATTATGAAGAAATAAAGAAAGAATATAAGTGCACACCGGCTCACGAATGCAAGCGTAAATTATGTCTCTTGTAACCTTATGATCTCTTTGTCTGCTTCACTCGCGCGTATTAACATTCAGTAATTTTTAAAGTGATTAGACCACTCTTGACTAAGGGACATATCTAAATTCATTACTGATCGTTTGTTCTTTACTGGTTTGTTTAAAAGCAGATTCAAATTTCAGTCGAAATTAAGTCGAAAGACCGCCTTACATTGTAGGCGGTGGAGAATACACATTGTTTGACGTCGTTCGCAGTCCAAATTTTTCCCAATTGTCTGCGTTTAACAAACAGTACTATATACTTCTTACATGCCGTAATTAACTAATTTCGGTATAGAAGAAAAACTCTCATTGAATATCGTGCAATTTAAAAATAACTTTATCAAAAACTGGTGTGTAATGTCACTTCTGTTCCCTTTTTTCCCGTCTCTGATGTCTACAAATCATATCCAACACAATTTAATACACCTACGTGCACCGTTTACGTGTTTGACGACGTCATGTTCATCAAACTCAATTTCAACGATACTATGAAAACCATGACACCAATCGTCTATTTCTAATGATATTGTAACGAAACCGAGGGTATCGTGTAATATTTAACTCGTGGGCCGCTATTGGTTTTTGTGGTCACTGGTCGAGATTTGATAGTTCCGTTGGTCACAGTTTATATAATGGTTAATAACCAATTTTTGGTCACTTAATTGGTTAACAGAATGACCAATTTTTGGTCACTTATTTGGTTGACGTAATGACCAACTTTTGGTCACTTATTTGGTTGAAGTAATGGCCAACTTTTGGTCACTTTAAACAATGTTTCTTAGGAACAACACTTGTTAAAAGTTTATAACATTTATTAGACCGATCAAATGGTTCACTTATAAACACACAGAATGGTACACCGTAACTTGGTTGGTACAACGTTATTTGGTTAACAAAAAGGTGACCAACCGGTGGTCAATCCAGGACGTTCCTAAAAACTTGGTTCCCTTTAATGCTTTCGTATACATAGAATTGGTACCGTCTTATAACCGAAGTATACGGAGTCGTTCCCCAAAGTGACTTAGGTCACTTTTTCCTTACCAGGGAAGGCTGTGTGCTCCGAGTCGCTCCCCACAGCCGACTGAAGTCAGAACCCAAAACAGCTGGTTTATATAGACAAAAGTTGTTATGATGACGTAAGGGACAATCAGATACCCATTACGTCACAATCAATGCAATCAATAAGTTAGCGGGTTTTAACCAATAAAATTACCTACTAAATCAATAATGTTGTACCCAAATAAAACATATAAATCAATAACGTTGTACCCAAATAAAACATACAAAATACACTACTTTGTCATTAAATCTTACATGTTAAATTAATAAAGTCATTAAATCAATTATTGTTCATTTCTTTCGTTAACTGTTCATTGACTATTATTTACGGAATTTATAAACATCGGGTTCACGTTCCATATATTCCAAACTTGTGAACAAGAGTTAACCCGAATTTCACAGGTACATTTCATGAAACGTAACATTACCCCCTTCTTAATTCGAAACGCCCTCGTTTCGGGGTATTTTATCAATAACATACAAATACACTGGTAATGTCTTTCAAGATACGCGTTACACGGATATAATGTCATCTGCTTCACCACGAAACAGCTTCATCTGGTCATGATGCACATATTTTGGTTTCTCGGCTGTAGACTTTCTCACTTTGAATACCGAATCGGACACAACACGTAACACTGTGTAAGGTCCATTCCAATGAACCTTAAGTTTATGAGATCTTCTTTTGGTCATTGTCTTTGATGCAATCCACACATATTGCCCTGGGGTGTACTGAATCTGGTTTGACTTGGTGCCATACTTTCGTTTCTGGTTATCGGTTGCTTCTATCCGTCGGGTGCAATAATCTGAACTGGTAATAACGTCCTTGTTATCCTTCTTGGTCCGTGGTAAAAGACGAAGGATGTCGATGTCCACTTGTTCCAGTGGTTTCCTAATTAAATACTGACCCGGTTTTCCTCTAGATCTGGCTGCCCTTGGTGGAGTCTTCTCAGCGTCGTTTGTCTCCTCCCCGTCACAAGGTTTACGTGGTCGTCGGTCACTATTATCATGTTGTAAAACTTCTTGTGAGCAAATTTTGAACACAGGATTGTGTTCACTCTTAAGGTCACATGATAATTTATTCTTTCCCAATGTAAGAGTTCCTTCACCCAAATTCAATTGACAATTTTGCTGTTTCAGAAAATCAAGACCTAAAATCATATGTGACTCAACGTCAGCGACGACCACTTTATGTTCGGTAACTTCACCATTAATACCAATTTGAAGTTCAGTCTGACCTTCTGGTACAACTTAATCACCGTTTGCCATCTGTAAGTTACTACGGTTTGGAAATAATTTAGGTCTAACACATCTTTCTATCTCGTAATATTTCTTTGGGTGGATAACCGTTATAACGGAACCAGTGTCAATGACAGAACTGATTTTCACATTGTTAACAAACACGTCAATTGTTAATAAGTTGGAACTGCGAGTATTTGAGCTCTTTATTCCAAAAACATGTGGCCTTTTCTGTTTTGTAGTTGACGTTTGGCCGCCGACGTCAACTACTGTGCGTTTCCCTGGTTCTCAGGTTCTCTGGTCGTCACGTCTTTTACGTATTCCGGTTTTCTTTGGTTTCTGTATTTTTCATTTTTTAGGTGCCGTTGTAGTAACCTGCATTCTCTCTTGATGTGACCATCTTTCTTACAATAAAAACAGGGACCTTTCTTGTTAAATTTCTTTTCTGTATTTTGGCTGATCATCGCTACTAAGTCTGTTTCGTAATTATTTCTGTCGGTATACGCTGGTTCCTCTGTCTGCATACGCACTGCAACTGTATTTCGTTTCCCCCGCGCTTGTTGAAAGGCCTCGTATTCCATTGCTAGTCGCACTGCATCTTCTAGGTCTTTAGGTTTTCCTTGAAACACTGCCCATTCCATTTCTTGGTCGTTTAAACTTCCAATGAACGAATCTTTGGTTATCTGGTCGCGGAAACTTAGAGGTGCGTTCGGGTATGACATCCTCGTAAGTTGTTTTATGTCTTGCATTAACTCTGTGATCGTTTCATTTTTCTTCCGTATTCGGCTCTTTAGTTGCGTCTTGTAGATTTCTGTTTGGTTTTCTGGGTCAAATCTTGCTGCTAGTGCGGTAACAAAGTGACGAAAATTATATCGATATTCTGGCTGTAGGTCACTCAAAACGCTTAGTGCCGGGCAGCGTAGACTGGTAGCTAACTCTAATGCCTTTGTTTCTTCATTCCAGTGGTTCAATTGGGCGATCATGTCGAAATGAACTATATAGTCGTTCCAGTTCATAGTACCATCGAATGTTGCTGGTTTTCTCCCGTTAGGTTCCGTGGTACGCCTGAATCCGTGGTCATGGGCTTGTCTTGTGTGACCATAATTTGGTACATCGTAATCGAAGCTGCGCATGGTCTGCTGAAATTCGTTGGTCTCATCATTGGTAGTGTAACTTCGTGGTACTGTCAGGTTTGACCAACTTGTCCTTGAAGGTTCATGATACCGAAATTCTTCACATAAATTTTGTAGAGGTGTATTTCTGTATGGTCGATGCTCACTGCGTATTTGGTCATCTTCAGACGTAGTTCTGGTACCGGACTGCACGCAACTTTGCTATACATATTGGTCATTAGTACTCATAGATCTCACTTGAGATTGTTATTGGTTCATTTGGGACTTCAGAGTTTTTAATTCTTGTAGAATTATGTGTAGACTGTCGTTTGTACATGTGTTGACTGCGCTGCCGTCTCCTATCTGGTCGTTGTCATTAACCCGCAAAAGAACTTCTTTGCTTGTAGTACCGTCGATAAACTGTAATTCTTTTGGTTCTGTATGTTGGTCACTTTCCTCAACCAATTTTTCGTTCCTCGACATCTTTGTAATGGTTTAGGTTCACAATTCACAGAATAGCGGATCCCACCGCTGCCACCAATGTAACGAAACCGAGGGTATCGTGTAATATTTAACTCGTGGGCCGCTATTGGTTTTTGTGGTCACTGGTCGAGATTTGATAGTTCCGTTGGTCACAGTTTATATAATGGTTAATAACCAATTTTTGGTCACTTAATTGGTTAACAGAATGACCAATTTTGGTCACTTATTTGGTTGACGTAATGACCAACTTTTGGTCACTTATTTGGTTGACGTAATGACCAACGTTTGGTCACTTTGAACAATGTTTCTTAGGAACAACACTTGTTAAAAGTTTATAACATTTGTTTAACATTATGTGTTTTTATACATTGTTTCATTTTATTTTTTCTCAAAAATATCATGAATAAGTCCCAATATGTTTCTAACCCAAAAATGATAAATGATTTAGAAGGAATAAAAAAATTATTTCGAGATATTTATTCTGCTTCACTCGAATGAATATAAAATGTAAATCTGATTCAATATACATGTCAATAAAAAGTAAAATTTTGCTTAAATAATAATTATGTTGGCAGGCAGTCACTTGATCAGAAAAAGAGAAATAATTAAGAATTTCATAATTTTTTATATTGCTGATTTCCACTTCAATCCCCCACCTAGAAAGTTGAAACATCCTCGCAATGCATGTCACTGCTGTTAGCATTTGATTCCAAAATTTCGATATATTCATTCCCATCCGTCTTAATTGTGAAATTTTCACAAGGATTCCCAGAAATGTCATGACATTCTGCACCATATGCATCCATATCTGAATAAACATCTTCGTGGAAATTTAAAGATGTTATTGTAACGTATGGAAAAATTTCATGATAGTGTGAAAAATCTTCATCAGCTGTTGAGCGATTAATATTGATCCCTGCATAGTTATTGTTCTCTAAGTCCGTAGATGTCGTGGCGAGGTACAGATTCACTAGCTTTCTTCTGCTATGAAGTTTAATACACAGATGAACTATTATGTAGATAGCCAGAACAGCTATTACAATGATCACTATTATGGTAATGCGGTGTGCAGTAAATTCAAAGAAATTATTATCTGGAAACTTGGAGATTAATTCCGTGGTTTCTTCTTGGTCCGACATAAAGTTCCTGGAGCTTTTTCCATCTCTTTCAGAAATCCAAGAATTCGTGTTGGTAATTTTACCTTGAATTTAAATTTTATATGAACATGAATTATACGTACATGTTACAGTTTGCGTTATCACTCTTATCATAATCATAAGGTATCTACATGTATATACTAGTAATATATCACTTCACTTAAAAACCAGGGCTTTCCTTATGACAGATTACTACATACATTTCAACGAGTGTTATAGTTTCCCAAATGCAAATCAATCTCCAGGGTCAAATCAGTGAGATAAAAATGCTACTTTAAGAAAGGACTAAAGTGCCAACAACTCAAAAGTTGTGACCAATGTTAATGTTTTAGAAAGGGGGTCAAACTTCAAGGGTAAATCAAAGGTTCAAAAGGGGGGGGACTTGTTACAAGAAATAATGGTGAAGTTTAGATTTTCTATAGCTTACACCCATTGTTCAGAATGGCCATAGTAATTTTTCGAAAGGAAATGAATGGCAAGGTCAAACAGTGTAAATATTTGGTATTCTAAATAGGTCTTGTAACAAAAATATAATCTGAGAAATATGAAACTCCTAGCATTAAGTTGATTCAATTAATATCTTTTAAAATGAACAAAACGACAACATTTCGATATAAAAAAGGGAATTATTATAATAAATAAACATAAATAGGTAGACAGAGCTAAAACTATTTTTAAAAGTAATGGCTAAGATGAAAAATTGTCTTTTTTTGCAAAAGTGAGTCACTATGTCAAGAGTTAAAATCCAGATCTTTTGACATGATACAAGGAAAACAGAGGTCAAATATAAAAGATTAAGATTAAGATTACGGATTACCTAATACACAGAAATCTTTACTGTTCACAGGTTTCTTTGAATCTTCCTCAAAAGGATATTGACATGTCTGGCAAAATCTTTCGGTGGTATTGTGGTCACAATCCAGACATATCCCTCCGCTAGTTCCATCAACAACTAAAGGGTCGTACCCACACTTCTTTGAGTGACCATTACAGTTACATCCTAAAATGATTTTACATTATTTTATTTCACATTAATCCTGCAAATTATAACCGAAGATCTAGAATTTTGTTAATTATCTGCACATTTACTTTAAAAACAAAACAAATCAGTCTAGAGAGTGTACAATGACATGGGTTTACTTTGAAAATTAGTTATTACGTTTGCATTTGTTTGACTTGAAGAAATCAGCAGGTTGCCATGGGCGTTCGTTGTAAAACTCTCGACATTTTTCACAATATTGACCTGTTGTTTTATGCTTGCAAACACACTTTCCGTTGACCTGCAAATAAATTTGAAATAATTTACTTTAACTTATTCTCTCTCTCTCTCTCTCTCTCTCTCTCTCTCTCTCTCTTACCTACACATTAGTATTTAATTGTTACCATAGTTCCAGTATCTGTGGTGAAATTATATCCAGGAAATGGTTTGCAGCGAGAAGCATGTCCATAACACATGCAGGTTCCCTCTATCCTTAAATTGTACACGCTATAGTAATCTAATAAAAAAAATCAATATCCCAGACCATTAAAATATAAAATGGAAAGAGGAAATAGAAAAAAGGATAATTAATTTGTAAAGTTCTGTATTTCACAGCAAGTAGAGCTGGAATTTTTTTTTTATAACACTATGCCAGTAATTTTTGCGACTACTAGTTACTTTTCAGACATTATATAAATATATTGAATGTAGTTGAGTGTAAAATTGAAAATTTTCACCCAGGCGAAGCCGAGGTTGACAATGGTTTTCGAGGAGTGAAAATTTTTAATGTTACACTCAACTACATGTACATGCAATATTTATTATATTATACTGAATGTTTTATACAAATACATATAACAGTGAACCGTGCGCGCATAAATTCTGCGTAGTCGCTATTTTTGGAATACCACCCGTCGTCAAGCAATGTTGGCTGTTGTTACGAAGGAAGGCGTGGCTTCATTATTCAGCAGGTAATAGTGTTTTTTGACAAATGTTTCTCGACGAATCAGATTTAAGTAATTTACATGAAAGTATAATAAAATAATATAGCGAACTTTAAAGTTATCAGAGAGCAAGATATATGACAAGCGTTTAAACCTTATTCACTGTTTGTGCATTGTCTTTATATGAATTATACTTGATCTAAGATATCTAAACTCGCTGTATATGTTATAGTTCCCAGCAGATAAATATTCTCTCATTTTCGTTTAGAACTCTCTGCTGTTTATTGTGGTTATTTAAGGAATCACTAGTTTTGAGGGTATGCCAGGGCATCAACAATAGTGGGAAACATTGGAAAAACTGCATAACGGGCGAAATCCCCATCTTTACTTGAGGTAAAAATCTTAAAATAAATAGAAATACCAACTTATTTAGTAGATTTGAAATGCACGATGGATTCCATGTTAATTTCCATTGCCCCACCCCATGACGTCATATTTTACTATTAAAAAAATAGTCCCATACAAACTCGAAACAAACTTAATGATTATTTAGTTATATTGCAGTCGAATATTAACATTAATTTATAAAATAAACAACAACAAAAATTATATTACGATCAAAGCAATCATGTTAACTTTAATTATGTATGTGACCTACATTTAGGGTGCGGAAGCACGAACACGTGTATGGGCTCCGCAGCCATATTGAATGCAATGTTGCAGTTGATGAAACGGGAGTTGGTCAGCATGGTCAGGAAACAGAATTGTGTGTGTTAAAATAACAGAGGACGTTGAATTGCGTAAGAATTTGGATTGTAATGACTGAAGGTCTTTGTCTGTACCGGATGATCTACATGTATGTGACTTTGCAGATTTCTCCACGTGGTTTAGATGGGCTGCTAACCATGATTACGGAAGTGAGGTTCTCGGTCACGCAAGGTCTCAGTGATAATGGACTAGCTAGTGACTTGCTTTTGATCCGAAGATAATTCATTATTTATTTTGTTTGTAAAAGGATATATCATATCTAATTACTTGGTAAACAATTAAACAAAACATCTTTATTTTCTTCTGTGTATTTATACATCACTCATATACATGCAAGTTTGACATTTGACCTTTCAGTAGTATTTCAGTAGAGAAATTTACATGCCACAGTCATCACGGTGAAATTAACAAGAATCATTTTTGTAGTGTTTATCATAGGAAAAATAATTGGAAATGGGAATTTTGTCATTTAAAGTCCGTCTTAAATGATTTAGATTAATGACTTACGTGTTAGAGAGAATGCTGTGAAGTTGATTCTCAAATTTGTAAAGGTTATTAAGTTCAAAATATCTTTACCAAGAGGTGTGACAAAGACATGTGGTGGGACACTTAAAAAGAAGCTTATCTGAAACAAAAGTATTCATTTAATGAAAAGAACATTTATGAAAGTTTGTTAAAAAAAATCAAAATGATCTGATAAAATAAAATAAAAAAATGTCCTACTTATTAAATGATTCCAAATATTTTGTTTACAGCTTCACTTTATTTGAACAAGTATTTTTAAGTAGTGAGGTTTATTTTGTACTGTTATTATTAAGTAAAACAGAGTAATTATGGAGAAGAAACACATTATTTGCATTACTTTATTCACCTCTAGCGTTTCTGCACTTTTATATTCTATCTCCTGACAAAAGATGTTCAAGTATTCACGATTAGATTTCAAAATCGGGAACTTAATTCCAGGCCACGAAAAGTTACAGCTTTCAGCAAAATACCGATAGACTCTCCACGTTCTTGCAAAATCAGAGGATCGCTCAATTAAGAATGCTTTAGGACCATGGTTTCTAAACTTAATTGTTACACCAGTAAACCAAAAGGTTGTTTCCAGATCAAACTGAATAAAGACACTTTCCTGTCCAAGCTGAGATTGCCACCAGTTTTCTGTAGTGTCGTAGAGCACGTTGCTGATTTGATGAGAAAGAGAATTGCTTTCAGACCAAGGTGTTCTCGAATCGCATCTGAAACATCTCGTGTAGGGAGCATCTCCTGTATTATTACAGATGTTCTCATGATGACGTAATCCACAGGTTGACGATGCCTTTAGAAATGATCTCCGTCCTATTAGTAGGTTTCCTCCATCCGTTGACCAAAAGTTTCCGTAAAATATCCTTTCCGTGGTTCTTGTTTTCCATGTTGCGTTTGAAAACACTTTAGAAAGACCAAGAGTACAAAAAAGGCAATTATTTAAGAAGTATTCATTAAAATGAATAAAATTTCGATATATCTAATTATATTTTTTTAATTTTAGCAATATATCGTTTATGTTGTGCTCCTTGTTTCTAAATGAGAGATTGTGACATTGGTTTAAAAATGCAAAGATGGAGTTTCAAATATCTAAAGCAAAGGTTCTTTTTTTATTTTCATTGTTATGAACAAAGAGTGTTAATCGTTGATTTGTAAAATGCAAATAATGGAGAAATACGTGTAATTTTATAAGTAAAGTTAACTATAGAAAATACTTTTATATCTTGATAATTATGAAACTTTTCTTTTTGATTAATCAGAGCCTAAATATCTCTTACACTGTGAAAGATGATAATAACGAAGATTTGATGTATTATATCTAGTGAAAAGGCGATTCATGAAATGAAAAATCTCAAACTCCTGAAAATATCAGAGGTGCTTGCAAATTATGAACTGACAACAGACTTAAGTCAAAGTTTATTATCTTTTCTCTGGAGGTGGAGTATGGGCAGCGAAAAGGGCAAAAATTACCATAATGAGAAAACAAACAATTATTGTAATTTCAATGATCATAAAAACTTAACAAATGATATACAATGCATAATCAACAGACCTTTTCGCAGAACAAGTATACATTAAAGCTTAACAAACGAACAAGTACGTAACAAACATATATGAATGCAAAACCAACGATCATCTTTGCAGTACAAACGTACATAAAAACACGACAAACGAAAAAAACTTAACCAACGTGCACGCGGTAAATCTAGTCTTCCCGACTCCCGGCTCCCGACGGTATCGGATTTTTTTTTTAAATTACTTTTTTGTCGGTGCACAGAAACTCTTCAAACTTCTCAGGCACATTTTCTTTTTAAATGAATTCAATAATATGTAAAAACTTTTAAAAATTTGCGTATCTATTACTGAATCAGCAGTATCACCTTAAAAAAGCGGTAAATGTAGTACTCCGTTATAAATATGAAAACCAAAAACGGACATCTTTACAGAGAGACGTAAGTGTCGTAGATAGTAAAGGTAAATGGGCACAGATTTGAAGTTAATATTTTCTGTATAATATTACGACTTATGTATCTTAATAGCATTTCACACAAAAATATATTAAAAATCTTATTTCATCTAAAAGTTATGAAAACTTCAAATTTTTAGACGGGTTTGATTGACACATCCTTGCACTCTCACAAATTGTAATTTTATTCTTAATACTTAGGAAAAGTGGCAATCTTGTTTCAATAACTTTAAGACGAAATAAATTAATTTCAAATCTGTGTCCATGTATCCTAAAAGATGTTTAAGGTATTGATATTGAGAAGATATTTCTTCTCAAAAGATTGAATTAGTATTTCAGTGAAAATTGGTGGTGTATGTTAATAAAAAAATGAACAATTAAGTAAATTCTATAAAAATTCATAACATCAAAATGATTTGATTTCAAAAAAGATTTTTATCAAAATCTTCATAAAAATAGCTAAATCTAACATTGTACTTATGGAAAAATAATGCAAAATGAAAGTACTGCATTGTTATACATTGACGTAGCATCGTTTTTAAAAGGAGGGGGTAACCAAAGAAAAAATTTCAATCTAGCTGAAAAAAAAGATTTTAAAAACTTAAAAATTAGCAAAAACAAAAAGGAAATTTAAATGATATATCCCAAACTCGAAAATCTCGTGTGTGTGAGTGTTTGTGTGTGTGTGTGGGGGGGGGGGGGTGTTAGGTTCAACTTCTTTCAGTGCCATTTTTTTCCTAATATACATGTACTACATAACCATTTTTTTTTCTTACTCTTAAAATTGGGTATTGTTGCTACGTACCTGTCATATGATATGCCACTGTAATGTAAAGTTATCATAACAGATTCTTGTAATATATAAAGAATTGGGAAAAACCAACTTATGTAACAAGAACAACAAAAATTGACGAGATATTTTTCTACATTTTATGTAAATTCTTTTCTTTCATTTTAAATTTTTAAGTTGAATTGACCCCCCAAAAAAATGAAAAAAAAAAAATAAGGGGGATCCGAGGTAGAACCACGTCCATGTTGTATAGCCTGGGAACAAAAACATAATGTGGCAAAGAGTTTTATACAAAAAAAATGTGTGGGGGAATTTCTGTGCATACAAATTATCTAGCATGTAAATGAGGGTTTTCATTTATTAAAAAAAAATATAAACTGTACCTCAGTTTGTTGTTTTTAATCTCGATTCTACGAAAGCATTTGTGTCCTTTTTTCAGTGGTTTTCGCAATTATAGCTGAGTACTAGATTTACCGCTTTTGGCAGATGATACTGCTGATTAAGTAATAAATACACAAATTTGTTAAAGTTTTTATATATTAATGAATTTTTTTAAACCTAGAAATTTGCCTGAGAAGTGTGAAGACTTTCTGTGCGCCGACAAAAAAGAAATCGGCAAGAAAAAAAAAAAGAAAACGGGACCGTCGGGAGTCGGGAAGACTAGATTTACCGCGTGCACGTTGGTTAAGTTTTTTTCGTTTGTTGTGTTTTATGAACGTTTGTACTTCAAAGATGGTCGTTCGTTTTGCATTCATGTATGTTTGTTACGTACTTGTTAGCTGGTTCTGCTTTAATGTATACTTGTTCTGCGAAAAGGTCTATTGATTATGCATTGTATATCATTTGTTAAGTTTTTATGATCATTGAAATAAAATAATTGTTTGTTTTCTTATTATTGTAATTTTTGCCCTTTCCGCTGCCCATAGTGGAGCCCCAATACGTAGAGGAACTGAATGTTAAATTACTAAAATAATTACATGTATTGTGATTTACACTTCCTCTTAAACAAGTTTGGATAACAAATTATCAAGAATACCGGTACTTGTTGAGCATTTGTTGTATATATATTTTTAAATCATACAAAAATTTTCTTTTTTTAAACCCAATGATTATGATTTTTTTTTTGTCTGAGAACATCTGTTTGCATACTTGGTATCTTAAATTAAAAATATCTTACAAAATTATCAGTATGTAAGGTGCATTTTACATGTCTTTTAAATAACTGATTACACTCAGTGAATGTTTTTGTGTATTATCAGTTGAGAAACATAAACATTAAACATACCTGGTAATTAAAAACTTTGATTATTTTTGCCATTGCTGTTTTTTTAAGGGTGGTGGGTGGAGGGTCGCGGGTGGGGGAAGTGTGGTAAGGGGCTAATTATAAAAAGAGGGTTTTTTAATAAATAAAAAAAAGGTTTGAGAATTGAAAAAAAAAATAAATCATGCACATGGTGAATACTATACTGACACACAAAAGAAACGCAACACACTATTTTAGGGGGAAATAATTATGTAAAGTAAAGAATTCTGTATCTTAAAATTATGAATACACACATATCTTCAATTTGGTGAACATCAGTAAATTAACAGTTGAACGATTTCCATATCATAACCGGAAGTCAAGGTTTAGTCTGCTTAACAGAAATCAAAAATTGCATGTTTATCAAAACATTTGGCAATATTATGGAGTTTTAAGGGATTTTTTACTGTTCATCATAAGTAATGCAGCAATATTTAAAAAAAAAATAAACTCTACTTTAGTTTCCCGAAACAATGCTAAGGCTACTGGAAAATGGCTTATGTGCGCATTTCCATTGCTCTAGCTGGAAAATTTCAATGTAAAGGTGATGGAGAGTTGCTGATGCGAAATTTCACTTCATTACGCCTCAACAGGGTTTTACGTATTATATGCATTAAGGACAGTCCTTGTACCGGAAGTGCAAGGGTAACTACACTGCTCTAAGTTAGAGAAAATTCGACCGAATTATCTGAAAAACGGGCATTTTAAAATGTCGAAGAATAATTCCTTCGCTGAGATCTCGATATTAATGAACCTATTGTATCGTAGAAATTAAGCTGCAATTGTTGTTTAGGACAGTCTTGCACGTTTTATCATATTTTACTCAGTAGAGTAAACATGTCAACATTTAACATTTTTATCAAATCTCTGATGTTCTGAAAAGTGAATTTAGCCTTACTTTATTCGCTTTTGAAAATTATAAGATAAAAAATCAAACATTTGAAAATTACTGCTTGTTGCGTTTCTTTTGCGTGTCAGTATTTATGTTGATTTATTCTTCTATACAGCAGTAAGAAATAGTTAACAACAGTAACATGTAATTTTAAATTGTCGAAGTAAAAAAAATTGCGTATTATTTTAATACATACTCTCTTTGGGAAGTACATCTACATATACGATAATGTTTAATTTTTCTTACCAATTTTCCATTATCTTAATTAAAAACTTTTTTCTTACTTTAACCCTTTAACGGCCAGAGATTTTGCCTAAAAAAGTTCAAATAGAATTTTAGACATTTTCTGGTCACTTTTACATAGAGCAACCTATATATTTTCTGAAAGGTAAGATCCTAAAGTATTTAATTATGCAGAGTAATTTGACGTCACGGTTGCCATGGCAACGATTGAGACCCATAATTGCCAAAATATGTGTTTTTCTCCCTTTATTCGTCCATGAAATACAAACAATTTTACAAATAATGTTTCCAAACCAGAGGATTTGACTATTAAAACAAAGCATGCATTCAATTATGTTTTAGTTTTACTGGTCAATTTTATGTGATAAAAAGAGTTACAATCACACAATGTCCGTACGTCATCCGACTTAGACTTCGGCTTTACAACTGTCCGATTGTCGTAAGCAATTTTTGAATCGCTCTCCCTCCTACAGTTTTTTTCTGACTTCAGTAAAAATTGGGAGACATCTGAAGCATACAAAGATGCACATTTTTTTTTATATTTTAGTTCTTTTATTTCAAGGACAGTGTTGCCATGGTTACAAAAATAGCAATTTTGAGAAGGGGGCTTCTTAACAAATCATGGGTATTATATTATTAATTTTTTACTTTCAGTAGAGTGTTATCAATGAATAAAATTACCTGCCTGGTTCCAGCGATCTGCGTACAA